ACGTTAAAAAAGTGATACAAGCATCGAACAAGAGTAATTTAAAACCATTAAAAGTAATATTTATCGAATGTTTGCCCCCGCTGAGCTCTCCTCGGCTTGAAAGAGCCTTTTGGGCAGTTTTCTGTGATTTCGGAGCAACGTGCGACGCCAGAGGAAGCATCGACGTCTCTGGAGAGCAAGTAAGACGCAGGGGAGCGGTTACGGGACCCTGGACACGTGGAGAATGGAGGACACATCGGGATTCGATTCTGAGGAATGGGGGGGCCAACGTCCGAAAAACATTATGCATTATTTATGAGTTCTCTTTCCGCCCGTCCACGCGATTCGTTCGAGGGATCGATGCGTTCGCGAGAGAAGAAAAGATGTCGAGGCTTGGTCGAATCGACGACAGGGAGGGAAACGTATCGTCCGCACGCGACGTCCAACGTCCTTTCCCTCGTCGCTAATTTACGTCCTGGCGACGTGCATGGGACACCTGTCGCAGTTTGTCCGCTACGTTGGGGCGTTATGTGTTTACCGCCTCGCTATCTTCGTGCCATGCTTAACACAGAGGAGCAGCTAGCTTGGGGGGACACAACAAGTGCAGGGGACGAACAAGTTCAAACTTTCCCTTCGAAGTACAGGGGTTGGACAAAATAATATAAACACCTAGGGCTAACTATTTCTCACTGCCGGACACGAGCGTGGACCTGTGGCGGTTTGGGCTATTTCCTTGGTACTCGATTAGTTTTCTTAACCGTTTGCACTCGAGTGTCTCTTCACACGGGTAAGATTAACAAATTTTACTAGTGACATAAATCGCAAACATAAATCTTCGCAGTGGTGTCAGCGCTTCGAGAAAGCTATAAGAATTTATAATCAAGTCTAATAATACCAAAAAAGATACATTTCTAAAGTTAGACTATTTTATGTAATCCTGTTCACACATTTTGCAACCAGATGGCGGAGAGTGCAAAGAGTTAACACGACTGATAGCGTTACTGGGGGTTTGTGGATATTTTAGATGATTCGTATCATGTACCATTGTGTCCTAACATCCTCGAGCTTGATGAGCTCCGAGATAATGTCTTCTCTAGCAGGTTTGGAGATAGACACCCCCCTGCGTAACCTCTGAAGCACTTGGAAGACCTTTTAATTGAAGAATGTGGATGGCAATCCACTGGAAGCTATTCAAGAATTGTACGATGATGTTCTAAGAAGGGTAGACTCTGCGATAAAGGCAAACGGTGGTCCAACCCCGTGTTAATAATATAGCGTATGTCACAGGTGTTCACATTATTTTGTCCACCCTCTGTATCTATTCGAGGAACTCGTGCGCAGTACAGAGAAGGAAGTCGAGGGACGTAGAGAGTGAAAGAGAGAGTGTGCGAAGAGAGACGAGCAGGACAGACAAATGACCAAAAGTGGACGAAAGAGAAGGGAACAAATGGGCTATAGTAAGACGTGTAAGAGCAACGGCTGAGCAAGACAGGGGGCAAGGGTGAAGTTAGGGGATCGAAAGAAGCTTCTCTGAAACTAGTGTTGCGTCTGCGAAAGCCCACATGGGACGGGATTAGTGCAACCCTAATTTCACGTGGAACGACGCGAATCTGTCTTCGAACGTTTGTTTCGACCACATTCGATTCATAGTGACTCCTTGTTGTGAGATGCAAGAAATAATAATTGATAAATGAAAATTAAACGAAAAGGAAAAACGTAAAGTTAAGGGTGATTAGTATGCAGCGTGAGGCATCGAGGCAGGCCATCCGAATGGTTCGTTTATTTTGGGTGATGAACCAATCTTGTTCGATTCCAAAGATAGTGGCTCAACTTATTTTTCTTTGAATGGAAGTACTTATTTTTCGTGAACAGAAGTGTTAAGATATATCTACTACGTTACAGTTAATAGTTTTTCCTTCCATCTTCATCTACAAAAAAAGAAATCAAAGCAAGACTTATTACAAGCCATTGATTTATCACACGAAATAAATGATTCGCATGACCTGCCTTCAGTGTCTTAGCTTGTAAAGCTCGAAGAACGGGTGTTTCGCGAGCCGATCGAAGCGAACAATAAGCGTACCGATTCCGTCCTTGAGTTTTTTCGGTTCAATAATGCACGTGGACACGGTCGAAACTCCATTTTGGTCTTCTTCGTCCATCATGGACCGCGGATTTTCATTTCGAGTTCGGAATTCAACATGAAGAGTGCTTGACCCCGAAAAGTTTGCCCGCAACTACCTCCAATCAACCGCTTCGATTTAGATCAGCCGATACCGAGCCATGGATGCGTTCATTTTCGAAACGTTTCCTATTAATTGCTCTAGTGTATATGTGTGTATACATATCTATGCGTGCAGGGTCAACCGCGGCGCGGTTCCCTCGCCTATCGTTCGCAATCGATACGCTCCCATTACCCCTACCTGATATTAACAATGACATTTTACCCCATTCCGCGGCCACCCCATTAATCCTAAATTACCATGGATTTAATAGACTGCCGATTTAAATATGTATGTATATACGTATATCTTAGGAAAACTCGAACGGTTTCCATTCTTGCGTGAAATCGATTGGCCCGCGTTCCGCGGCGATGCAATCCCTTGGCTGCGAATTCGAACGAAATTCGAACGATAATACAATTTCAATACGAATTTCAATAGAACCAATTTCATAACGTTTCGCGTCGCAGAGCCTTGATGCTTTCAAAGAAAATTCTATGACAGCAGAGCTGTTTGTTATTGATAGTTGAAGGCACGCAATCCGCTATTGACCGCAAAGTTAAGAATCACAGAGTCTGTTTAACGACCCAACTTTCGTCGTACATCAGCTGCTCATTATCTTGTCCTAGTTTTACGAAATTGAGTTTTTCAACATCAGCAGCCCGTGCGTATTTACGTGGGAACATCGTAAAGGCGAGGAAAATCTTATTACGGTTAGGAGTACGGAACGCGTGAGCTTTCAAAACAACAAAATTGCTAAAAATGCCAGGCCAATGAAATATTTAATTTATTACCATTTCGTCTGCGAATTATTACATTTTTGTCCTGTGATTCTATCGAATGTTTTCCTTGCATTGACATTTTAAAAATTTAATTTCAAGGTAAAAACTCCAATCTCCTCGTAATAAGTGACCAAACACAAGGCCCTGCGAATCAGCGACGCTATTTCACTCAATGAAAAGCTTCTCGCGTCCCGAGGAGAATGATATTCTGTTGTCTACTCCCCAGACACATTGGAAATCCTGCGAATATTCGATGCTATCGTCACCGATAAAGAAACCCTCAGCGAGCGATAATTCGCGTACGAATTCGTGAGCCTGGATGCACACGCGTACTTTGCGGACCGCGATCGATCGCTTCCCGATCGTCTTGCGATCAGATACGAAACAGGGCATCTCCCTAAGAGTCGAAACCTCCTTAACCGCTATCTTAAATCTTAACTCGACGAGATTGTACCGATACGATAATTTATAGTGATTTTGTACAATGTTCACCGCTCCTTCGTATCGAGCGACTCGGTGTCGGCGGTTCGTCGATTGAAACTTCCCCGCGGAAGTCGCAGATCGTCGAATCACGGATCAAGCTTGGCCCAATAATGTACAATGTCCCACTGCGGAGGACGTAAAGCCCACGACCGAGTTCTCGACGAACGTCGGCCTGTGACGCGTCGATCAACGATCAGATTGTCCCCGAGTGTCCTCTCGTTGGACGAACTCGGCGAAGACAAATTTCCAACGACGTGGCTCCACTCGCCCCGAACGGATTCCTTTGTGGTCATTTTCAAGAATCTTGGTTTATCAGGACAGTGAACTGTGTCGGTGATACTGAATCCACTTTGCCACTAATACAACTGGATTGCGATTACTTGGAGCATGTAATCTTGGTTTTGTTTCTCAAAATATTTAATTTTGTTGGTTGGAGTTATACAAGCACCGTCAGGTGGAATTTTTTACCTTTGGAATCGAGTCCTTTTCATAGAGTATAAGGGTGATTATCTAACAAGCATATACAGTAATTTCTGAGAAATTAATCATCAGGTATTGATAGTTACCGATACTCTAGCTAGGAATTTCCAAAATAGTTACTCTCAGCGTCTCAAGGTAGGGTATCAGTAAGTAATAATACGTGACCTAGCCTTTACTCACGAATTCCTCATAGATTACTTGCTTTCCAGACAGTTTACATGAAGAGAACCCCACCGTAGGACTCAAGAAGATTTCACTCGATAATCTAGCCAAGAAACTAAGTTAATTAATTCTAGTTTCTCGAATGAACCAAAGAGGATGATCTCAGCGAAGAGTGTCCCAAAACGCCAAAAATCCTTGAGAACAACGCAAGGCAAATTAACCTGGACCAGTGGAGCACGTCTTCTCGTGAAAAAATGATGTTCGTCCCGTCGCGATTTTCGGGTCGCGGCGAGGTTGGTTTACGAAGGAGCACGAATCCCGGGAAATCGGGCGCGAGTTTTGCGGGTAATCTGCATCTTTGGAAAGTTTCTGCCGCGTTACACGTCGCGACGGAGCCCTTGTTCCTGGGTAAGTTTCGGTCGGAGGGACCCAGTTCTCGAAACAAAGGCTCCGACGATGGTCCGTGTGTTACAAGCGCGCTCGCGAGAGAGAGATAGTTCAGAGACGATCTCTCCTTGGAACCAGCCTGGCTTCGGCTGATATCAGCCGATGGTCGATGCTGGACCAGTTCGTCCGACACCAGCGCGTACACGGTCGATTCGGATCGATTCTCGACGATATTGTCGACGGTAGCGACAGCGAGAGCACAGTTAGCGGTGTAGCAATGGGTTAGAGTGTGCGCATAGCTCGAGTCGAGTTGTTATTAATTATAACAAGTTAGTTCACAGAGGCATGGCGTTGTAGAGGTCCAAATTGGGATGGTAAAAGAGCGGTGTCGGTGTAGGCGGATTATGGTGGGGGGCAGGCTGCGCCTGTATGAGGTTCAAGTTCAGGTTCAAGGGCGCGATGTGGGCCGCGTTATGGTGGTTAAGGTGGTTAAGGCTAAGGTGGTTACCTGTCGGGTAGGGCAGTCCGAAACTAGGGTACCCAGAATAGCCACGGCCTGCCGCGTATGCCGCGTACGCCGCTGGGAAACCTGTGAACAGATCAGAACAATGTGTTAATAATGGTAACGACATGTTTTTTTATTGTTTTTTTTTTATTTTGCTCGATAGTCCTCGAGTACTTAACGAAGAAGGTGGATCATTTTGGTTGGTAGAGCAACTGAAAACCGGGTCATTTAATGCGTTGCTCTGTCGATCAAAAGGATGATCTACGAACTGTTAGGTACTACTCTTCCTTTGGTATTCACAAGGATAGTCAATATTTAAGCATCTATTTTAATATCGCTACGTGTTAATCTTCTATTGCATATTGACATTAGGAGTCCTTGTAAAGTTTGACGAGGAAGTTTTACGGACGAATGTATGCACGAGGTCTTACGATGACGTCTGATAAACCTGCGGGTCCACTTACTGTACGGTTTTAGTATGAATTAGTTTGCTGCTTGGAAGTTATAATGAAATGCTGTAGCTGTTTAAAGGCTACTTTGTCACTCTATGAAAGATCCTGTAATTCGTGGCGAAACGAGGAGAATGGTAGTTTTATATGAGTCTTCGTTTTTGAATGAAATTAATTTAATTTAATTTAATTTAAAATGAAAGCGAGCAACGTTTCCCTTACTCGTTTGAATATCCTTTTATAGAAGGATAGAATTCAGGTTCTAATTGTACAGTAATAAATACGAAATATAAGATGATCCTTTATAATGAGTTGCATTGAATATGAAAGTAGAAATTATTGTATAGAAAAATTTTCTCCTAAGATTTTGATTTATTTCCGTATGAAAAACCGTCCTCTTTCAGATATCACGAATTATAGGATTCTCTGTGGATCATTCCTTTTATTTAAATATTATCAAGAATACTTGAAACTGTTGACAAATAATAAGTATCTATTGCATTCTGCACCTTCAACATATTTTTATAACGATGCATGAATTTCGCAATCAAAGTTACAAATTTTATTTGTTTCCATAAGGTGACAAATAACTAAAGTCAAAAGCAAAAGAATCCCCTGTTGGTGTACGTTCTCTGCCGTACTCTCATGTAAAATTGAACGAATTAAATATTCCCGACTACGTACCGGTAATATTCAGTAGAATATTTTCAATTAGGAGAGCGATAAAATTACCGTCCTCGTGATTTGCATAGTCAATAATCCGTGCACGTTCGCTTATAATATTTTAATTAAATTTCGACGCGATTCGTATTTTCAAAGCAATTTACGTATTCCTGCCGCGCGACATCGAAGAGCGCGTGACGAGTTAGGTATCAGACGGATAATTACGTTAACTATCGGATGTGTCTTTGCGCCGGCGAATATTTGCACGGGCGGAACAAATGAAACGAGTGGACGTTGTCGGTCGTTCGTAAATCATGCACGAATCCCGCTGACTCGAACTATGCAGCCAACGAGCACGATGGCTTCCGGTTCCTTTGTGATTGATCGGCGCGTGAATATTGCAAAGATAGTCTTACGTCAAACGTGTTACGAAACGGTGGACATGTTCACTGGACATCGTAGTAGTTTTGGTGTACGTGTTTCGTGCATATTTCATACTCACCATCAGGTAATGCTCCCAGGGACCACATAAAATCTATAAGGAAAAACAGATTACATTAATACCGGGTTCGGATGAATAAAAACGGTTAAAATTGTGTTCTCTTTTTTTTTTCTCAGTATCATTCTTTTCCCTTCATTTACTTTTCACATCGGTTAGTGCAATGATCGTTTAAGTCTCAATAAGAAATTTCTGCAACTAAGCACGATAGAACAGTATTGGGCGATTTGAGACGGAGAGAGCGTGGACAGAGAGTAACTATCAATGATAATGAAAGAAATCGTAAATTATTGAATGTATTATTTTGTGTGTATTATTGTATCGCTTGCGTGTCTGGTTTGGAGAAGTATCGTGCGCAATACTGTTCTTCGCGTAGGCCAAGGTATGCGTATCACAATTAAGATATGTACATGGAGACAAGTTAAATATGAAGCAAAGCGTTGCAGAAATTCGTCGGAATAGACGGTTCTTGTGTAACGGATGACTAGGTTCAAACAATGAGAGAAGGGTAAACAAAAAAAAAAAAAGAAAAACAAAGATTGAAACAAGAAATTAGGATTAAAAGCCTTCTAGGTTAGACAGAGAGAAAGGAAAACATAGAAAGTAGAGAGAGAGAGAGAGTGTGGAGAAGAGTAGAATAGTGAGAGAGAGAGAGAGAGATAGAGAGAGAGAGAAAGTAAGGCATCCATGAAATTTCATAATTTTATACTAATTGAAAAGACCACACAACTAAGATTCTGACTATTTATAGATGTATATCGCATCGACTATGTAGCGCATCGACTAAATTCTGTGACAAGGTACTAGTAACTACGCGCGGCCGAGGTGTTTCCAATCTACGACAAAATAAACCCTCCTATGATCTATGGTTATTGTAGCCTTCAAGGTATTGGTTAATCATTTACCGTTAAGTAATAATTGCTAGGCTGACTATGTAGCTTATTAGATATCGACTAAGGGTCGGTAATGTGCCCTGCGATCCCGAAGAAGACGAAATTTAAATAATCTCTCTCGTGGAAACAGATTTCCCGTGAAGTAATTGACGCGCAATTGTTTATTCTTGGATTACCGTAAGACAAATGCACCTAAATTCGACATGAAATTATCACCGATAATTAGGGCATTTACCTCAATTGAAATTTGTCTCGGAACGAAATGAACAATGTTGATCGTACTTCTTTCGTTGAAACACGTGGCACATTATCGACGCCACTACCACATTGATATCGACGATACAATATTGAAAAAAAACACCGACCACAATTACTACACTACTGATTCACTATTCTAGTGTCCATATCGACGCTGCTCTCACAATATACGCAGATGGAAAAGTATAAGAGCGTTTATTCTAGCCATTAAGATACACTGATACATATTAATAGTATTAGTGATTCCGTACCTAATGTCTTTCTACCGGGCTGGTTTTGATTACGTCAAGCACGCAACAACTTTTATCATTTCACGTGACATCGTTTTCTGTTTCTGTTTCTGTTTAGTTCTTTTCTACTTTGCTTTCTTTCCCAAAATCCGTCCGAACGACAATGAAAAAAACTTCCGCACGTGCGTTATCTCGTGTTTATTTAAACACCATTAATTTTGCTGTCGTATCGATAATAGATATATCGATTTGCGTGTATAATAAGTAAATTGATGTTTCATAAATTAGATATTTAGTTATGTGTGTATATATATAATATGTATGTGTATGTATATGTATATATATATATATATATATTTATTTCTTATTCATTCATTTATATAAATATTTGCAACGTGCATATTGCAACGTGTACGTATTCTGTGTCTGTGCACAACTGACATTATAGCTATATTCCGCGTATGTACGTATGTATATATAATAGTAATGATTAATAATAATAATAATCATAATAGTAATAATAATATACGTGTACTTTCTCAGATGCAACAAATCGATTTCACGTAAAGCAGACGTTTACGTACGACATTAACATTAATAGTCCCTTACAGTTTCGAGGAGCGTATAAAGCTCGTTCCGCTCGAGTTTACGATCGAGTTGCCGCTCGATTAACATTTACGTCACATCGATAGCTTTGGCAACGTGGAATCCCATTGAGTTACTCTATCGGAATTGTACAGCTATTTCTGTGATCCTTCTTCGCTGGATATTTCCGAAGAGAGAGAAAGAGAATGTTGCGAAAAAAAAAAACGTTTGCCAAGGAACGCAAATACTTATTTTTTTTTTTTATTTACTTTTCTTTTCATGTATATATGTATATATTTCTCCCCTCTTCATTTTTTTTTTCTGTTTTCTTTCGTTCCGTTTCGTACTCGCGCGTTGCGCCCGTCAATTTTACGAGGGACGCGAACATACTATTTCGTCTGTTTCTTTCTTTTTTCCCCGGTGTTTTTTCCTTTCTTTCTTTTCTTTTCTTTTTTTTTTTTTTTTTGTTTTTCACGTTTTCGTTTGCAATCGTTGTTGTCCGTGCGCAACGCTGCGTTCCCCGTACAACCAAAATCCGGCCCAACAAAGCATTACAAAGGTGAACAGAAATAATAACCGCATGTTAAGATCTGGTCTACTTACGAAACTGACACTGTTGAGCCTCTCGGGCAAAGTACGTACTTTCTAGGACACACGTCTCACGCATTATTATTAAGGTAAATGATGCTATATAGCTTAGAAGAGTTAAATACTATATAACGAGTAATAGGTAGTTTTTGGGGCGGGGCGGGTAAAGGGGTGGGGGTGTATGAGTTGTTTTTTTTTTTTTTTACCGTAGGGTGTAGGGTTCAAGGTATAGACGGGTATACGCACGACATATATTTAGTATATACCCTATAGAGAGGTATAATATTACGTGTAACGTAATATAAACGTACTATGTAACGTAGCTTGTTAAGTAATAGGTACATTGTAATAGGTCTCTTTGAAGCCGCTGATAGGATGAATTCTTCGTGGAAGACGCTACGTTTCTCTGTTCGTCTCACTCGTAAGAGACGTTTTCCATTGCAAATTAATATTTGGTTCAACTTTAGTTTCGCTTTCATGAGTGAAGTAATCATGAAATTTTAGAGAATTTTATGAAGTCGACTAGAGGGAGAGGCTCGAGGTCCCCCACGAAGAAACACCTAAAGTATATTTCTAAACTAACGGTATCATAGTGACTTCCCAAAAAGCTATAGTTAACTAGTAGTCTCAATGATAGGAACGTATACATAGTATAGTAATTTCATCAAAAATTATTCGCTCTAACTAATTCGAACCTAGATCGCCTAAAAAATGTCATTAAATAAACTAAGGTCTGTAACAACATAAAAGTTTACCTAATTACCTAGATATGTATAAGATAGAGATATAGATATGCTTCGATATGTATACCGGTAGGTCTATTACAAAAACTAGTAGGTTTTAATGCGCCTCTCACAAAATATATATCGATATCAATATCAAATACTATACGACGTTTACCAAATTACATAGATACAAAACAATATATAATATATGTATATATATAGTCTGCCGTTATCTAGAATGGATCAAATTTTTTTTTTTCACTTTTTTTTCTCTCCTCTTTTCTTTTGTTTTCATTTTTTTGTAATCAAGTCCCTTTCTCCGTTTAGGTACGTATGATCATATAATTATATATAGGTTAATTATATGCGTACGTGTACTCTCAATATATACGTATAAAGATCCGTGCACGGATTTCTATACGTATAGATAGCTCCGACCTCGCATCCTTTCTTTACAAACGTGTACAACCGTATCTTTTTCTTTTTTTTTTTTGGAGCGGGTTTGCTTTCTTTTATTTCATTTTTTTTTTTTCTTAATTTCTCTTTTCTCGACATTATGAAATTTCATGAAATTCATTGCGAAAAATACTCTGAAAGGCGCGACGAATGAGAAATGCTTATCGTCGACCATTTGCCGCGCGCCCCCGACGCGCTATCCGCCTCCACCATTCAACGATTCGCGTCGTTATTTATGCTTGGGCGACAAATCAGAAATTCACCTCCTTCACGGAACAATACACTGCGTGCCGCTACCTGGGGAATGTGTATATATATATATATTTCTTTCATCTCTTCCCCGTTTCCCATCGACGAGATCCTCGCAATCTGCGATCTCGACGACAGGGCGCCCCCGCACTCTCGAAGATCGAGCGAACGACCCTCGCTTTCGCGGAAAATAGAATGGTCGACGACGACGACTCGAGACCCAGTTCCCCGTCGAACACCGTCGTCGATTCCTTCCCCCGATTGCCGTTCGAAATTCGACTCTTTCGGCTCCACGAGCCGGCGACTCTTCTACCTTAAAGCTTCGCTCGGACTCGCCACGAGCTTGTCTAAAACCTACGTGTAAATTGACGTGTGCTTTGTCGCGAACGCGAGTCGTTCGAGGCAGGAATTTGTATCTTTTTTTTTTTCTTCTTTCGAAAGGTATCCGAACACCACCGTCTAGTCGCTGACTCTTGGTATCCTCCTATTCGCATACTTCCGTACCCCTTCTCTCCGCGAAAATTATGATCTAGATTATACTATAGAATTCTACAGTGAAATCTTAGAGACCATACTTTTACCAATCAGACTAGCTATCTTCTCATTTCTGCGTAAGTACTTATTCCACCTCAGTGCGAGTCTCAAATTTTCTTCCAAATTCTAATCTCTAGTGCTATATCGTACTACCCGTTTCAATGTTACAAATTATCCAATCAAATTACATTACAGGTACATCCTACAGACTACACTTTCAAAAAATGCGACAAAAAAAAATTCCCCTTTTTCTGAAGACACCAGAGTGAGAAGTGCCTCTCGATTCGAAGCATTTCCTTCGTTAACAGTTGGAAGGAACTGTATTGACTGTCGAGGATCCTGAATCGAACGTCACCGGTATAATTATTGTCAATTATTCTGAATTCGATTCCGCTGGTAATCGGAGGTTCCAATTAACGAAGAAACGAAATTAAACGCGTTCACCGGAGGGAAGGGGTGTTCGATGTATCGACAACCTGCTGCCGAGCGTTGCTCACCGAAACGAACTAGTTTTGCGTCTCTTTCTAAATTTGAACACTTTTCTTCTTATTGTCCTACTTGTTTGCCTTTCTAATCGACTACGAAAAAATCACTACCAGTCTTTTGCGATTCGTTTTGTTTCGTTGCTATAATAACTACTCTTTGGCTACGAGACAAATGAGGCCCCATAGGTGACTAACCGAGTTCTGTCGAACATACCTATGATCCGCTACGTGACTTTATACTTTTTCATCATCTTTTCACTCTCACTACGATCACAGTTTTTACTGAACTGAGCTTCCCGAGCAGTCTCGCGAGAATTTCATCATTCCCACACTCGAATCTAAGGAATAAAAGGAATGGTTCCGTCTAGTCTACCTTTATTGCACTTTGTCGATATGTCTTTGATCTGCTTCTACGCCCGGTGGGAAATCAACAGCAATGCAGTTTACGCTAATACTTTCTGGAAAACGAAGGCGACGTCGAGTCCTAATCCAGGAATGCATCATGTACCGTAGAAAGGCACGCGGTATCCCGTTTGAAATGGTCATCTACGATTATGTTAAATATGGTAATGTAAAGTCTTTCGTATTTGAATACTGCTAAGGAATACTGTCGTTGCGCGAGTGAACGGGATACCAATATGCCGTCCAAGTCCGTAGGTATCGAACAAAATTTGAGCCCACCGTTTGCATTGATTTGTCAAAAATTCCGTCCAACGAAGACGCTACTAATATCTACGCTATCGAATTTCTAACGATTCTTGGCACGTCTGAACCATTACCACGAGTCTCCAGTGCGGTGGTAACAAAAATAAAAATTCGTTCCACGTTCCTACAACGTTTTGCGTTTCACCTTCACCAACGATCGAGCCGATCTACAAGGAAGGAAGAGCGCAAATACAGTTACTCATTTTAATATTCTGCTATTAAGACACTTCTGACTTCGTTGAATGATATATTTGCGAATTATTGTAAGTACGTTGAAGTTAAAGGGTCGTCGACTAGGAATTACTTTAGTTTAAAGCGAAATTTGTTTAAAAGTTTCGAATGAACCACTTCTGGTCCCTATGAAATGAGTAACTGTACCGTTTCCAAGAGTTACGCCCCTGAATGACAACCGCGACAAAAATTCCCCATAAATCACATTTTCACAATAATAACATGTCATCAGTTTACCGATGCCGAAACCTGACCAATACCTAAACAATCTTTTTCAAACCAGCTACTCGTCAAAGTCTACAGTTCATTCAGGGGCATCCTCTTCAACCTTTTACTACAGACAGCTAATAAACTCGAACGCAGAACGATCACCCCTGACGCATACTACTGAGGCCGCGAGAGGGGCGTCAGGATCGTCGGTCATAGACCAATCGTGGGTATCGGATGGTAGACGGCTCCCATGTCCAAACCCTGAACACCTAACAGGTCGCTCATGGAATAAGTGAGAGTGGCGGCCCGCGAAGCAGCAGCGGCTGCGACCGGATGAGGCCTGTAGGAGGCTGCAGCCGCTGCCGCAGCCGCAGCTGCAAGCGCCCTCTTGACGTCGTAGACGGCCGCGGTGGTCGCTGCGGCTGCGGCCGCAGGAGCGGTCGCGCCTGTTGCGTACTGGTAGGTAGCGGCCGCGTTTGGTGCGGCGGTAGCGACTATCGGGGCGAGCAAGTGGTGGTGGGGAGTGCCAGCGGAGGCTGCTGCAGCTGCATGTGCAGCCGCTGCAGCGGCCGTCGGTAGGGGATACGGCGCGTAACGATAGGTGGTGGGGGTGGGTGTCGCGACCATCACCAACTCACCGTATGTGCCTCTGTTGGCCGCTCGCGTCTTCGCCAGGTTTGCCGGGAGCATCACTTCCTTCGGCTGTGCTTTCTTGCACTCGACCTTGAAATGGAAACGGATCATCAGTGGTGCCCTCCCTCGAGACTCACTCGTGCTATCTTAGGTGTTACGATACCACTAGTGGAAGGAGTAGGTATGCTGACGTCAATTTTGCTTTGCTGTATTTATTTTCACTTTGTCTATGGTTCTTTTGGTAAATTTCTTTGGAAGCTTAACATAGTTTTGGTCATAGAGAGCTGAGAATTGATTGAGATTTTTTTCTAACTTTGTACGCGACGTACTCACAGCATTTGGCTGCGAGTAGTCTCTGCGGATTCAGCCCGCGCACCATACGGCGCCTGTTACACGACTGGCGTTACTGGTGATGCTACGATGTCGGGACAAGTTTTGTGCTTCGTATTACACATACGCTCTCGCATAAGCTCGTATCTTTTAATTAAAGGGACACTTCTTAATTATTCTCTTGTGCTAGGGAAAGTCGATAGCGCGAGTGAGTCCTTGCATTCAGTATTGTCCACAACTGAAGCGTTTCAATTTTATCCACAATTTTATCCACTCCTACGCCATGTTTCATTTTCGTATGGCGCATACATGTAGGGGCGCTGTTAAAGTCTCTATTATCGTTTATACCATGAGATTGCAAACTCTATAACCGCAAAGATCATTCATCTAACTAGCGTAATTAAGGATAATTATTGCGAATGAGAAACTACCATTCTCGGTAGAAGGGCGTTTCATTCGGCAAGTGGCTAATGCCTTATAGGGGTGTTCGAAGGTTATTGACAGAACCTGGAGCACCCAGGCGATGGATTTATGGGTAACGAGAAGCGGCATCCGGTAAATCCTTGATCGGCGTCAGCGAAATTTCGGTGGTAGTAGACGACAAACAGAACTGTCTATTACCGTAGGACCCGCGCGATCTCCGCTACAACGGGCTTTCCCTCTCCGGAACCCGCTTTTCGTCTTCCGTGTATGATCTACTCGCCTATGGACGCGCGTACGTGTGCTCACGTGCGTGCGTGTCAAATGCAAATAACCACGGCCAGCCCTTCTCAATTATACGGAAAATTAATTCCACTCGACGCCGTATCCGCAGACGGATAGCGGAAGGCAAATACCGTTTGATACCACCTCTGCGGGCACGTAGTGAGGAGAGAGTGTTCTCTCTTCATTCGACAAACAGGCTTTGTTGTCGAGACTGGGGCGACTCACCATTTTGTTGTTGATTTCGTGGAAATGAATCTCGCAGACTTTGTCGACCACGTCCTCGCTTTGAAACGTGACAAAGCCGAAGCCTGGAACAGAAAGAAGGGGTGTCTTGTATTATTATTTATAGAGGGTGCTCGAGCTGTTGAGGTTGATTCACAAATGACTTGTGTTTCTTAACTTACTATAGAATTAATTTTTAAATATACGAGGATTAAATAATTTAAGTGTGTTAAAGAACAACGGATAAAATTCTGATCATCCATTAACAAACTTAACGAGTATATTTAATAAAATTGCCTGATTCAAAACGAATTACTCTCCCTGTTATACAGAATTTTCCACTTTTTAAAAACCTTACAAAAAACACTCGGTCTACTATCTAACTATCATTCGGTAAGTAAGTTCTCCCTTTCTAGTTAACGCTACAGAAGTAACCGGATCCAAATGAATCTTAAACCGATGCTTTAAATACGTTGCCGAGTTCCGACGGACGCCCTTTATTCGCCGTAATTCACCGAGCTTAAAAACGTCCAAGTTAACGTAACTTCCATGCGTTCTCCCGCGGAGATAACTATCCCGCCGGATCTTCCATTAATTCAGCGGAGTCGGACGAGTTTCTGCTTCCTTCCCTACCGTCCCTTCGTAACCGTGTGCTCTCCCCCCATTCCACCCTCGTTCCACTCGAGCGCGGTCTAAGCATTTCTGCTCGAAATTTATTTCGCTCGAAGACGAACAAGAGAAAGAGGAACGACGAGCCGGCAAAGAGTCATAACTTAATCAAGCATCAAGGGTTATTAAAAACTTTGCATTGGTCTCCAGGTGATTTTAATCTCGCCCTACCCCCGCTTTATCCCCCTGCCGCGCTGTCTCCAGCGCGGTGTAGTAATTCAGGCTCAAGTTATCCGGGCGGGCGCGAGTTATACGAATCCAGTGCGCGCGATGTCGCTTAAGATAACCAGGAGTTAGTGCTTCCGTGCTGAAGCAGTCTGCGAGCGAAACTACGCCGGGTGACTCGTAATTAAACACAGCCGATGGATACCGGAGTCGAATGCGAGTCGACAGCTCTCGCGATTCTTCGAGCGTTTCTTCCCACCCCCGCCGCCCTGGGTCTCTTAAATTTTACACCGGAAATGGAACGAGTGCGCCGGGATTAAATTACATCGGGGGAGTCGGCGAGACGCCTCGTCGCGGACGCTTTCGGGCCGGCTTGCTCGTCTAATTAGCGTCGATCGATTTCGATTCACATTTTCTGTTTGTTTATTTATAGCGTGGGCAGCAGAATCGCGTCGGATCGAATTTTAGAGGAGACAAAAAAGCGTCCAAAATTTGGACAGTTTATTGCTAAGAGTCTCCCGCAAGAAAAGTAAAAATTTTAAACTCTCAAGTAATTTCCCAACAAAATTATTTTAAAAGCAGTCACGGAAAAGTTGAAAATTCAGACCTTCCTCGCGTATTTTATCTGCTTTCGCGAACTCACCACTCCATATTTTGCTTCCATTTAACCTTTCCATCGTCCACTTATGTACGTACAAGACCCAGCGTTGAATTATCCGGACGCATGCACAAAAGTGGCCAGGCTCTACTAAAGTGGCGTCCACAAACCTAATCTCGAATTACGTCGGATTTAATCGCTGATATCCAGCAGTCGTCATCCGAATAACGGAACGCCGTCGTAAAGGGGCAACGGCGGTAGTAAAACGGTGAAGTAAAACGCGTTCGGATTCAATTATCCGGACTTGTTTCTTCGTTTCGTCGCTCTTATTCAATTCTTTGCCGTGCGGTGCTCCTTTTATTTGCCCGCATCGCCTTCTCTTTCCTTTACAGACACCTCTCGGAACTTACACTATCTACCCCCGGTTCCCTCGACCCTTAAGCTCCCACACCGCCATGAAAAGCACGAGTGATTAAGTTATAAACTTGGCAAGACGTCCGTTTGAGTGAGGAAGGGGCTTACTTCATTTATGTAATTTATAGTACTCTGCCAGTCAGCTAACTCAGCGCAGCACCGAGCACTCTCTCCTCACAAAGGCCGAGCCTTGACACCGGTAACATTTAACTACTTCCTGTTGGAAGTCTACCGGGTCGTGCACACAAGTCCAGGAGACAAGGACCCGAGGTATTCACCGTACCCGATATTATTCGTCTTTTAAAGCTACACTCTAATATCCTCCGGCTTACTACAAAGTCGTCCTCCTTCAGGAGGTATTAAAAAGTTATGACAGACCGTTCACGCTGAGCCACGTCCTTCGAGTCACTTTTCGCAGGAAATAAAGTCGACGTCCGCGCGGTACGCGCGTCTCCCTCGGATACGATGTATGCGAAATATCGCATGAATATATAATAGGACCGACACCCGTGTAAAATAGCGTTCTCGGCTGCGCGTGAAATGAAATTACATTGTTACGTAAATTTCGCTCGCGCTAAAGACCTCGATAGCGCTCGTCGCGCCAAAGTAGGTTCCCGTATCGACCGTGAAAGGTGACTTTTCCCCTGTCGATCGGACGAATTCGACTGGAAAGTCGACATACAATTTTCTATGGAAGTACGCGCTTGTTAATATGGAAGAATAATGCACGCCAGTGTATGGATATTTTATAAACTTATTCGACGACTAAAGCACCCTTGGATGCCTCTTTCTTCTCCTTTTTATTTCCTTCTGGTTGTAAAATAGCTGTTGCAGCAGTGTGTATATATATTTTATACTTCTTTTTCTCGTCCACTTTTTCAGTTTTATGACAGAGCGATATATACGTTGAACGAAATTGGAATCAAGCACGAAGCGTAGTCACAATTTTTCTTGTTGCTTTGTACTTTTATTATTTGTAAAAGTGGGCAGGTCTTCGCGTGTTTAACGTTCTATAACTTTAAAGTTATAGAAGAATATTCTACTGTGGAACCTCCTCGAACCTAAATAGATAAACATTATATTCCGTCTAGTCGTTTGTGCCACTTTACGCGCACTAGAAATATTATTATCCCCCATTCGGTAAACCGAACGTTTACTTTTATCTTCGATAAAACGCGATTATGTCGCGGGACCATGTGCCGGTGAAACGTATTGAATGGTCGGTCGAGGGTTACGCGTTTTTAGAGCCTCGACGACGGGATAACTCGAAGAGCCTCCGGAGGCGAGGTCAGCGCGGTCAGCGATCCGCGCGGAGACCGATAAATTTTAAAAGAAAAAGTGGCCCCCGAGTTCGAATTTTCATAAGGGGATTTATTTCCGTGGTCTGATCTCGTTGGGGTCTCGGAAGCACCATCCTCGCTACGGAAGGAGGTAAACTGCTCGCCGACCACCCTCGTCGAGGGTTAGGGATAGACGAGGAACAGGGAAAAGTGCGTTCTCAGCTGTCCGACCCCTCGTTGGACGCCAGATGCGCTCATTTCAATAAAAAACACCCCGAAATATCCTTTACCTCCTTCCCATGGAGGTGCTCTCTTATCCTCTTACCTTCCTAGAGTTCCTTAAATGATCCATAAACGGTCCAGCTCGGTGCAAAATTACTGGAGTCGTGTCGGTTATCTGACTATTCTACGCTACCTTGCTCCCTACCCAGAAGAATTATAGCTGGCTTTATCGGCCAGCATGGCAAATCGAATGAAAATATTTTACGGAATGCGTTGAAGTTGCAAAGTATCAGTTTCCTAGAAGGTAACCATGTTTCGTCCCGTTAGATGTTCCGGAATAATTAATTCATCAGAATATTTGATGTTCGTCCTATCAATAACCTGTAAACGATATTTTCTTGGATATTGAAACAAATCTTCATCAAGGATACAAGCGTTTTGTCAACTGGAATTCGAGGTTTCTATCTGATGTTACGGTCAGAAGACTGGATGGCCGTCGGTTGAGCGAAGGAAATAGCGTGGAACGACATTTCGAGATTCAGGACTGAGTTGGATAAGTATTAGCGACTTTCATTCTAGGGTTAAATTCTCTTGACGAGAGGAAAAATGGAACTTGATGGCTCCGAGCAGCGGGCGTTGACGGAAGAGAGCAATTCTTCTCTGTTCCACGACCATCGCTGTTCTCCACGTTTCGCCTTTCCTCTCGTCCTCGTCGTTGCTCCTTCTCGTCTGCCTTTCCCTCCTCGTCCTTCCCTGGCCCCTCGACACACGAGCATAATGCGACCTCGCCATTGTACCAGTGGCCATGTTAACGTTTAAAAGCCACGCTGCCGCTAAGCGCGTTTCAGAATTTTACCGTCTATTGAGAATGGTAAAAGGTTTCTTTCAAAAGGCCGCCAGAACGATTTGAAACTTGTAAATGGATATGGCTCAAACCTTAGTCGTTTCTGTCTTTTGCCCACCCCGGTTCCTCTGTTTTCGTCTGTCCCTCTGCGCACCTTTGGAGTCCCTTCCGTCAACTGGACGATGCCTCTGAACGTTTGTTTGTCCCCGTTAATGTGGACTCCGACGCGAAAACCGAGAGTATCGTCGCATTTATGAACTCGACAGAGGTTCGCGATGCAAAACGATCGAGGACTTTGATGTCGACCAGTCCCTCCCCTTCTAACAGCAACAGGCTGATAAGGGAAGTACGCAAACTCGAGTTTCCGAATGAAACTTAGTAAAGACGATGATCGTCATCCAAGTAACGTAATCTATTATACGAAAGTTACACCTACCGAAGGGGTAAACAAGTTTTACCCAATTCCACACAATTGATTTTTGAATTTTCAGTTCAGACGTAGAATCAGCGACCCCAAAAATCCCCGTATACCAAGTTTCATCAAAATCGAAACATTTTTCGCATTTCGGTCTGCGATATTGGAGCCGCTACTTTGAATTTGGACACCCCATCGATTGAGAATTACAATACGGTATAAAATGAAATTCGCCGGAGTTAAAACGCGAATGGAAACGTTAAAAGTTCTTTCACCATAAAAGTGATGCAAGAACCATTTGCGTAGAAACGACTGCCTGAGCAAAATCGAGTAAAATAATGGCGAGCATTTCCGCGGAGGACCATTATTCCTAATAATTATAACGTTCCGAGGAACTGTTTAACGACGGACGGGAAATATTTGCTTTGATATTTTTCGAATCAGTTATTCCCTTTCGAACGACTTGTACAGTTGTTACA